CGGTAAAATATTACATTCCTGTAAACTGAATAACGCTTCGGTTAAACGAATTCGCGACGTTCAGAGCGCGAGGCAAACGGCTTGACCACTGCGCCACAGAAACCGTTATAAGTGATGTAGTGTGATGGTCACCGCCATGCATGAGGCACTTTTCCTTGGAAGGGGTTAGATGAGTGGAGTAGGGTCACATTAAGTGCCCTGATTGACGACCAGTACCACGTGAGGGAGGGAGCACGTGACTCAGCTACTTGTTGCAGGCGACGGGGCATTGATCAAATTAGATCTTATTAGTGTCTCTCCGACTGTCTATCTGGGAGACACTTGCTAGATTTCCCCCTTCGCCACCCGTTCTCTCTTTCACACTCTCTCTCTCTCTCTCTCTCTCTCTCTCTCTCTCTCTCTCTCTCTATCGCTCTCTCTCTCTCTCTTTTACTCTCTTAATCCCCCCTCTCGTACATACAAACACACGCTGACACATCGTTCTCATGTTTTAAGCTCCTTGCCCCTCCCCCGCCCCAACCCCCAACTCACCCACCTATATTGTTCTATCTCCAATAATTCCTGTTATACTCGTATTCAGTTCGTCATCGTAACCTATTGTAGAATAAAAGTACAAATCCCTTTTCACGGCCAAAGCTGCATCTAGCATATGGGAAAAGCATCCATATTTTTACAGACCAGTCGGCACTAGGTGGGTAATGAGGTCAGCATTACGACCGACCGTCTTTACTTTCCTACGACATACATCGATCCTGGTAACCATTTTAGGCTGGGTTGACCTGCAATGCCCCATTCCACGATAAAAATCCATGCAGCCAGCAGTGGGTTTCGATCGCGGTACGTTGGAGTTAGAAGTCGGACTCGCGACACCTAAGCCACGGATGCCGCATATCGTAGTATAACACGAGATTTTCCGGTATTTTGTGTGTTGTATAGCGCGTTTCATAAGAAGTGGTGTCCTCCCACTTTAACAAATATCTCGAAAAAAAATTGTACAAAACGAATTGTTGCACTTGGCCTTAGATTCCCAGGTCCTTATGATTCTGTATTCACAGTTGGACAGGTTATGCTGTTTTCTTACAGCGGTGTATTTCTTTGAACTTTGAATAGTAAAGTAAATGTCCCTTTTCCACGACTTTCGGCATATAGGACAGATAAGGTTGGACCTATATTTTAAGGACCAATCGGCACAAGATGGGTGATGTGGTCAGCTTCACGCCAACTGCCTTTACTTCCCAGGACTGCATCCGGTACCCACTCAAGGCTGGGTCGACCTGTGAGTCAAGATCTTTTTTTTAAAGTCAAGCTACGCTTTGAACTTTGTATACACCGTAAAACAGAATGTACAGTAATTGACAGCAATTTTACGTGTGCAGCGGTGTGTGATGATTTTTTGAAAGCATATCCAGCATACAATGACAGATCCACTACTCACGGAAAGCTAATGCTGGCGATGACCACTGAAAATGAAACGCCTATGAAACGCGTGCAATATGAAGTTTTGAAAATAATCTCTAGTTTCTCAGTTAACTATGAGCAAGCTGACTGACTGCTTAGAAACGGTTTCTTCATAAATGCATCTTATACAAACGTGAGGTTTGCATTATTTATCTGATACGCCAGTGGTGCAAACAGAACCATTTATTTTACTTACACATGATGCGTTGTTTGGGACATACAGAACTTTTTTTAAAGTTCCCACTATTATGGAGCCAAAATTTAAGGTTCATAACGTTGAAAATATCATCGTTTTTGATTAAAATGACATTTGTATTGCATGTTTATTTCTCGTTAAATTTGCAGATGATGATGATGCCAAAGCCTCCCATTTGTTGTTTACGCTGAATGTCTACCAGTACAGAATAGAGAAAGCTAACACCAAGGCTGGATTACCCGGAGGTCAGTTCGCTTGCGTGTCTATGTATGTAGAAGTTTGTGTGTGCGCATGTGTTTGCATGAGGTTTGAGGTTTTAAACAAGGGATCAACATCATGGCACACGGGTAGTAACTCATAAATGCTCCGTTCTTCTTCTAAGTCAAGTCTGAGTCCTAAGAAGTTCAGCACAGTGCACAGGCTCTGTGGCACCGGCAAGGATCCTGAAATACTTTGGGTAGGTTTTAAACTTCGTATTTTGCCCGGGCAGCGCCGTTATGCTACTCTTTTTGATTTCCAACTGCCAATGAATTTTTTTACGTGCACGACAATACGCACGGGCGTCCAATCTCACTAGAAGTCCAAGTCCACGTGAAAAAAATCCCAGCCCTTACCGGGGATTGAACTGGGAACCTCTAGCACCCGAGGCAGACACCATGTATCGAGACCACGCAGCCCCCTGTATTTGCATGAGAATTAGGTACAGTCAAATAAGAAGATTACTTCAGATAAACTAAAGGGCTAAGTGTCACTGAAAAAGTACGTCAAATTCATACATTTGCAATAGTGGTCCCGAAATGTCATTTCATATAGAAGACTTTTCTAAACGCATTCCGATCTTGCTAGTCACACTCGCCGTCGCTATGGGCAATGATACCTGGGCCTCCATGTTGATATTATTGTATGGAAGAAGACAAATGTGTTCTCAAATATTTTCTTCTTCTTTTACAGTAATCCAGGCTCTTCTGGTCATTGCTGTAGATATTACATTCATCTGTGTGATTATCCTTCTCTTTTCATTTGGTGACTGTATATGTTTGAATGTTAGATTAAGAATTGACATCATAGTACTCGGGATATTCCCATAAGCGCTCTGTTCCCATCTTCAACAGCAGACGAAGAGTTGCCAGTTTCGATGGTACCAGTAATAGTGTGATTGTACATCCGTATTGCCTTTTCCGCGAGTGTTGAGCCTCGGCCATATCACCTGGTAACTCCCCGCAGCGCCATTCTCCTTAGACCGTAATGATCTATTTGTGCCCCCACACTGTACACTCTCACCCAAAGGGTCCTCACAACATTTAGCTTCTCTTTGTCTCTTTCAGTGTTTGTTGGTCAGTTTATTTTCTCTGTAACCGTTTTCTTGGTCTGTCTCGTGGTCTAATCACACACTGTATTTGTTCAGCAGGTTTCGTCCCTCTGTTTTCTGCCAGTCCTTTTATGTGCCCTGAGCATAGCAGTCTATTAGCCGAAGTAATAGGTAGTGATAAAAACCTATTTTGAATTTCATTTTAACTTATCTGGGCGAGGCAGCCGAAAGGGCCTCTAGCTGGCTTTGGACGCAACGCAACAACGTAGGGGACGGGCCTCGGTGAGCTGGTCCGGGTCTCTAGTGGAAAAGGGTTTCTCACCCTTTGAAAATCCATCGTGTCCGAATTGTCTGCCAGTGATCCTCTGCCACCTGCTAATAAAGTCCAAAACGTGTCCGGTAACCCAATCGTAAGCTTGTCGCTCGGTCGTCCAGGCACGCTGACTGTTCTAATTAGGCTGCCGCAACGACTTCTTATCTCACAGTCAAGGTTGTTGCGTATCCTTTACAGGACGTTGCAGAACCAACCCTAACAGCCCCTGGCTGTTGTGTGGTTTCTCTAGGCAAATTTACGTCCAGTAGTTTGCCATTGCTTTCTGGACGGTCGGCTTTCTTGATACCACTGTCGAAACCAACGCAAGACGCATTGCCCGCAGCTGGGATCGATTCCGGCATCCCGGCATTACGAAGCGAAGCGTTCGCATCGACTTAGCCACAGAGCCGACTATCTCACAGTACCTTCTGCAAACCACCAAGTCGTCTTGTCTCTATCCGAAAGAAAAACACCATCCGGTAATTTCGTGCAGCAGGGAACCAGCCCTGAGCTTCATGAACTCAGGTGGGCCCACCTCAGAAAGCGTCTAGGAATCGTGGGCCGAAACGCTCGTTGACGAGGATAATTTCTGCTGACGACTGATAGATCCCTGCTGTACTTGCTCCCTGTGAGTTTATTCCTATCCCTCTCCATTCTCTGCTGTTTTCATCTTCTGTGAGTCCAAAGATTCTCAAAAGTGTGTGATAAGGCTGGGAGACTCTTCCAGGCCATAAACCAAGGGTTTCTTAGCAAAAGAGAAATTGGCAAGAGGACGAAAATGGCTGTTTACCGCTCTACCTATGTACCAGTCCTGACCTATGGGTGTGAGTCATGGGCAATGACAACAGCTCACAGAAGCCAGCTGCAGGCCTCGGAAATGAGATACCTGAGAAAGGTGGTCCAAGTGACAAGAAGGGACAAAGTCCGCAATCAGACAATACGTCAAGATCTTGATACCCAGCCCTTACTAACCCGAGTGGATCAGTCACAGTTACGATGGTTTGGACATGTGTGCAGAATGGGAGAAAATCGGCCACCATGGCAAGCATGGGAGGCTAAGAACCAGGGAACCAGACCTCCGGGACGACCCAGGGTGCGCTGGGAAGACAACATCCGACAGTCCCTGACTGACAGAGGACTGGAATGGAACAAAGCCAGAAAGAAAACTGCTGATAGAGACGTCTGGCGATCTCTCTGGCAAACCTCTACACCCCAAGGTAGAAGAGGAGCGACTAAGTAAGTAAGTAAGTAAGTGTGATAAGGCTTCTTTTAATTCTACTCCATGTTTCAGAGCTAAAAACGACAGTTTGTGTAATCAGTTTTATGTAGTGTAACCTCGGTGTTACGAAACAGAACATGGGATTTTAGCAAATGTTGAGGGAATAGTGTACTTTGGTTTTCCAGAAATCTCGGTGTTACGAAAGAGAGCATGTGATTTTGGCTAATGTTGAGGGAATAGTGTACTTTGGTTTTCCAGGGATCTCGGTGTTACGAAACAGAACATGGGATTTTAGAAAATGATGAGGGAATAGTGTACTTTGGTTTTCTAGAAATCTTGGTGTTACAAAAAAGAGCATGTGATTTTAGCAAATGTTAAAGGGCATAGTGTACATTTTTTCCCCAGAATGTATTCTAAATTTCTTCTTTTAGTATGCTGGAACAGTTAAGTATTTACTCAAGTATTTGTTTGTTTCCGCTGGTTTTAGGCCAGAATAAGTAAATATTTATCGTTTATTAATTGACGATCTGTTTGGGGGAATTATTGTTGAAAGGAAACGATCTGAAAATCCATCCGGGGGGGGGGGGGGGGGGGAGGGGTGGGGGTAAGAATATTCTGCGGTGCTTTTGAACCAAGTGGGACTATGGCTGCTCATTGGTAATTCCTAAAAGTGGGACATTCAGGGCCCCATTTGGGAATTGATGTAAAAGCATGTGCTGTTGAAATCGGATGTGCTGGGCCGAAAGGCGCTGATATCACAATGTTTATTTTTTTTTTAAAGTAAAGGACCATTGTCCACGCATTTCAGCGTTAGAGCGTGACCTATATTTATAGACCAATCGGCAAAAGTTGGGTGATGTGGTCAGCATCACGCCAGCCGCCTCCACTTTCTAGACTGCACCCGGTACCCACTCAAGGGTGGTTCGACCTCGGAGTCAAAGTCATTTTTTGATATCACAGCCTAGCTGTAAATCACAACGCAAAGTGCCAACCGACCTTTTAAGGGCTAATTCAAAAGAAGAAGACAAAAGTCCATTGCAGTAACGGCTGTTGATATAGATTATATTCTATTGTGTTGATATATGAAAATTGCCAACCTTGTTTGTATTCTCACTTACACATATACGCGCACTGATCTGGTTCTCAGGCCAGCACGGCTGCTTTCCTAATCAAGCCACTAGGTCACCCTGACCATAATATCGTTTTGGAACTTTCCACCTTCTGTCGAGAAGAGTATATTTTTTGTAACGTTTGCAAACATAAAATTGCGTCTGATATTGAGGAAAATAGCGGAAGGAAAAAAAAAAGCTACCTTAAATATGCTGCAGATATGATATTACTAGCAGAATGTGAACATACGCTCTGATACCTCGTTGAGCACGTAAATCGACGTACGGTAGATATTGGATTATGTGTTAATGTTAAAAAATAAAATTTGAAACTGTTAGCAACGGAAAAGGTTAGTTGCGTATCCTTTACAGAACGTTGCAGGACCAACCCTAACAGCCCCTGGCTGTTGTGTGGTTTTTCTAGGCACATTTACGTCCTGTAGTTTGCCATTAGCAACGGAAAGGTTAGGTATAAACAGTGAACATCAAAGTAAGTGCAGAGGTACTTGAACAAGCAAAACGTCGCAGTTAACGGGGAGATATTACAGTAAGTAAAAGATGGGATTAGATAGGGAGATAAAATATTACCGTTAACGGGGAGATATTACAGTAAGTAAAAGATGGGATTAGATAGGGAGATAAAATATTACAGTTAACGGGGAGATATTACAGTAAGTAAAAGATGGGATTAGATAAGGAGATAAAATATTACAGTTAACGGGGAGATATTACAGTAAGTAAAAGATGGGATTAGATAGGGAGATAAAATATTACAGTTAACGGGAAAATACTATAACAAGTTAAAGATCACAATAAAAGAGGACATGAAGAGAAATTACAATACACGGGGAGACACTAGAATAAGTAAAAGATCCTCAGTGTGGGTATCAGGGACCCATTGTGGGGAAAAAATAGACCCACTGTATACAGGCCCACTCTAAACAAAAATAGACTAATCAGCAAGCATGTCGTAGAAGTCGACTAATTGGCGGCATCTTACAAAGTCGGAGTGAATCTGTCTGAAAGGCAAGAATCAACAATCTGCATATAAATAAGCCAGATTTGTAAGAAAAAAAATGGTTGCGGCACTCAAGTTCTGGAACAAGATTAAAGTCCGTAGGTGGACGAACAACCAGAACTTTCCGCTGGAGTTTACACCTGTGAATGCGAAGAATAAGAAAGAAGTAAAAGATCACAGTACACCGAGAGATAAAACTAAAGGGAAAGATACTTGACAAGTAAAATATCACAGAAAACGGGGAGTACGTAAAACAAAAAGAACGTAACTAAACAGAAGACACTAGAACAAATAAAACACTACAGCTAACGGCAAGATACTAGAACAGGTAAATTACCACTGTACCACTGTAAATTCTTACAAATTAAGACAGTCCCATACCCACGACACAGTCAACTGTATGCTGTCAACAGACATAATCTAGCCTGATCCAGCCACATTGAAGGCATAGCTGTATGGTACACGTGAAGATCTTCTACGGGCATCAGTCTCACATCGGGCTGCAAATTTGCTTAAACTGCACTGGGATAATGAGTTAGAGATGTTAGCGAGACGTTGGGAAGATGCTGACAGAAAGGATGGATATGGGAAAGTTTACCGCGATCCTGGCAAGTTCATTCCAGAACGATTCGAAATAGGACATAATTTAGCATCGGAATTTTGTTCATTCAGACAAGCGATCCACGACTGGAACAGTGAAAATGAGACTTACCGATCGTTCGCTAACAGACCTGTGAAAGACCAACAGACCTGTGAAAATGAGACCATCGGATGAAAAAGACCAGGATGAAATACGACGAGTGGGACAGTGAAAATGAGACTTACCGATCGTTCGCTAACAGACCTGTGAAAGACCAGGATGAAATACGACGAGTGGGACAGTGAAAATGAGACTTACCGATCGTTCGCTAACAGACCTGTGAAAGACCAGGATGAAATACGACGAGTGGGACAGTGAAAATGAGAATGAGACTTACTGATCGTTCGCTAACAGACCTGTGAAAGACCAGGATGAAATACGACGAGTGCACACTCGGATTGCTTAGACAAAAACAGGTCTCCTTTCTTGTTCAGTACTTGACAGAAGTGATGTTATTATCAATGCCATGCGCTGCACTTACCGTACCGAGAAGCACGCCAAAGGACATGACTCCGTATCCCTGTCTAGACTTATGAACATCGGGGTGCAGCCTGGAGCTGCAAGAAATGAATACTTTACTAAGAGGACAAGACGTTTTATAAACCAACACAGAACAGGGGTCATTAGCCGTTTTACACTTGTAGAGCTTTTGAGGAGGAGATCGGAGCAACAGTGGATCTGTCCGGAGTGTTGTGATGATAATCCTCTCTAATCACTGATCACAGGTCTCCTTGATTGCGCTGCTCCTAACTGTGAAAACACTCTAACTGCAGATAGAAGACTACGAAAAACCCTGGCCATCTTTCACCTGCCCTCATAAGTGTGGACACTGTCGATGTGTGGCAGGGAATTACTATTCTCTTATTTGCTCAATTCATGCCTGTAGCAGCATCAATTATTTGAATTCTATGGCGGACACAGTGTTACGCTTGGCTACACTACAAGTGATAATGTGCTATACGCATAAATAATTAAGACTGAGTTTATGTTGTGTCTGTGAGCTGGCACTGTATGGAGCTTAACATCAGGAAATAATCTCGCTTTCAGACAATACTGAGATCACACTATAGATGTATAAATGTATCTCTTTTTTCAGTGTTGTCCTACATACATATACATAATTATGTGTGTGCGTGTAGATAAATATCTATATATATATATATGTGTGTGTGTGTGTGTAATGAATGGATTTTCCAGTTTAATGTATCTGCTCCCCCAAGAAATTGTGCAAGTCGTACTCTCTTCAATCGACTCAAGAACAAGGCCAGTGATGTAACAATTACACAAGAGCTGTTTATTTACAATATTCCAGTCATAGAGGCTTTTATAAATTCAATAGTATATGAACACTGTATTATCTGGATACAGGCTATTCGTATGACTCTCTACGAGTTCCTTAACCACTGTTCTAGCTAAACTCCAAGTTTAACATATACCTTCTAAACGAAGTAAAAAGCACTAGTTTTCTCCTAACCGGTCTTTCCAGCGCCCTAACCTGTCCTATCAAGCGGTTCCGTGGCTAACTGTCCTCTCCAGCGGTTCCGGGACTAACTAACCCCTCTCAAGCGGTCCCGGGGCTAACTAACTTCTCAAGCCCCTGGCTCTGACTTTATTCCCGCTTTCCCGCTCTCTCTGGCGTACCTTCTCCATCACTTCTCTGTCACCTGTCTTTGGTGGTCACGTTTGGATGAACGTATCTCATCAGCAGGTCACAGTTCACGGGCACTCGTCGAATGTTTCATCCCTCACTGTCAGATGTCATGGCGGTGTGTTCTGCATAGCTGGCTAGGCCATGGCTTTCTAATCACCTATTTCTGTCATTTCACACAGTGATGGATTAGTACGCCGTGTGGTGGTCTGAAATGTATGCTTGTTCATTTAACCCCTTTTCTGCCTATATTTCATTACATTCGCCCTTCACACTTTTTAACAAAATTGTTTCCTATCTTCAATTTTATAAAAACTACTCTAATTATACCCGCTACCTAACTAAACCTTATGTGAACATCTAGCCACGTAATGAAAGCATACAACATAACATGTAACATCATAAAATTCATGCAGTATAATGAAAACGTGACATGCATACAATAACTAATAGTCAATAATTCTAAAGACATAAAAAAAAAACGATACAACTCCCTCGTTGTATTAGCATAACAACCTCTTATTCACTGGTATCCCTAATGAATGTGCGGAGTTGTCTGAAGTATAAAGGAATAGTATCTGTATTCCTCCTTTATAAACTCAAACCTGAAAACATTGTATACAAGAAATGACATGCCATGTATCCCCAGTTATCAATAAAATAAAACTCGAAAATGTCATCTCCCCAAGAAAGGATGAAAATAGAATCTCTGAGAAAGTCAACATAGATTGAATAATAAGGTATAACCTTTACAGAGTATAAATAATTCTTATACCGTTAGGTATATTAATTGGAGAGAAATTTCTCGGAAACAATAGTAGCATTTCCTCAAGTCGAATGTACAATGCCACCACCTGTATTTACAGGCATTTATCTACTGTGATAATCCACAGGGTTTATTGTTGCTTCCCTAAGAGGTTGCTTCCTCTGTTTAATGCATATCGCATCTTCTGTAAAGAAATAGCCGGCCTATATTCAGTTACCAATCATGTCATGCTTTGGACTGGCTTATCGCCAAGTACGTTTCTAACTGTGTACCTCAGTAAAGTCTGGTTAAACTCAAATCAGTCATCATTCTGACAGAATGTATAAGAGAGGTTTTGTGGCCAGTAACTCTCTTAGCGAACATAAAACATGTAGGTATTGTAATCTTCACCCACAACCGAACGTGTGGATTTTCACTTGTCCGGGAGAGTACAACACGATTAAAAAACGTTCATAGTGCAAAACCAAATGTAAATATTAAATGGTAGGGACAAAACAACGGTATATATTTAATATTGTCGGACAAATGACATGTAGACACAACAACAGAATATGTGTAGCGAGCGCGGTACCTCTGTACACAGCAATATAGCGTACGTAAATTGTAATTAATGAAACTAATTACTTGTTATACACCCTACAATCCCACATTTATTGAACCATTTTACGAACGATCCCATTTCAGTCAGTCATGGGGAAAGGGAGGGGGGGGGGGGGGTACCTGATTCTTGCTGAATTTTCATGGGTACGGGAATGTTATGTACGCTATATAATTAAAATTTTGGTCGTACCTCTACTAAAGGATTCTCAACAACCATTACAAGGTATCCCTTGTGATCACAGTATCACAGACTAGAGATGTATAATTCTGTCTAGGCTGACTTCGACATCTAGGGTTAGATGTGTTTTAAAATCTGTTTGATAAATCAGCAGCAACTGTTAGCAATTCACTCGGAATTAGCAAACTGGTTGTTAATTTTCCGGTGACTAAAATTTAATTTCTTCCATTGATTTGTCTACTGCTTGTTGAACTCTCTGGCTGCTTTTTACTTTTATCGAGGACGGAATGTAAATAATATACGTCCTGGTAAATTTATCAAGTGTTATGATTTCAGTTTTTCTATGTTAATCGTTTTAGTTGCTGTACTGTAGCTGTAGTCATCAAATCGGTATAAGCGATTAAGCTTCTCTCTATTCTGCTGAATTCTAGTTTCTCGCTTTTTAATATTGTGAGCGTTTTGTCTACCACGTGTGTTATCCTAACAATCCAAAGACCACTGAAACGTTAGTCTTCCCTCTTTCATTTTTCTGCGTGTATGTATGGCACTCACTTTTGCCTCCCTCTTTTTATGTGGTGGGTTGCAGTCATCCTGACTGGATGACGTTTGCTTTCGGTTTCTCTTTCCTCTTCTGGGCTCGGCCATGTCCTGATCTGTTTCATAATCGCCTGCGTTTCCACAACTATCTGTGTCGCTTTTCATCTCCTCTGAGCTTTCTGACGCTTCAGTAGACTCCGCCTCAAGTAATAATGCCCTACGTTCTCTCTCTGACATAATTTTCTGTCTTTCAAAAATCGGCACATTTCCTTCGCTAGATGAAGCGGAGCGTTCTTTACACGCTCGCCTAATTTCCTTTTCTTCTTCTATGTTATGTTTTCTTTTCGTTGCTGCTCTAGTATGTCTAAACGGGGCGTCTGTAAAATCGGCGATATCTGACTCATTCACTGTTGAACCCTCTTCACTCTCCGACCTGTTCGTCGGTGTTGGTTCTACCTCCGCAGTCGTTACGTGTCCCTCTGTGCATGTTCCCTTGTTTGCTATGTCACTTTCGTTTTCGGTACTGATTTGACTGTCAGTGTCAGTCTCTGGCGGACATGCTAAAGTAGTTCTCCTGTGTGTATCCTGTTCTACCTGTTGCGGACACTCTGTGTTTAGCGTGTCATTGTATTTAAGATGACCGACATGAACTCGGGCGGTGTGTCCTGTTAGTTGGTTTTTAATAAGGTAGGTTACCGGCCCTAGACGTTCTAACACGAAGTATCCGGCCGTCCACCGGTTGTCAAACTTAGATTCTCTGACGTGTTTTTTGAAAAATACGTTATCTCCGACATTAAACTCTGCTAACACAACATTTTTGTCTGCGTACTGTTTACGTTTGTCAAACGCTTTTTTAACATTCCTCCGTACTTTCACGTGAGCCTTATGCATTTCCTGTAATACTATCTCATGAAAATCTTCACCCATGTACTTTCTTCGGGGTTTAAGCAAGTTATCAAGTGGTAGTAATGGCTGTCGACCGTGCAGTAAAAAATATGGTGAATGTTTAGTGCTCTCATTTATATTTGTTCGTATGGCTCCTAACGCTTGATTTAAATAAAGATCCCAGTCTCTCTTGTTGTCATCTACGTGTTTTGCAATAATATCATAAATGGTGCGATGTTGGCGTTCATTCTTGCCATTACTATTTGGGTGGTAGATTGAAGTTTTAATATGTTTAATATTCATCTCCTTCATTACTCTCTCAAATTTGTGAGAAGCAAATTCACCGCCATTGTCTGAGATTAGAACTTGACAAGTACCAAATCGCGACACGAATTCCTGAAGAAAGAGTCTTATTACGGTATCTGTTGTCTTATCCGGTATTGGGTACGCCTCTGGCCAGGAACTATAGTAGTCGACAATGTGTAGAATATACCTGTTACCAGATAAGGTTCTAGGGTGTGGTCCTGAAATATCTAAGCTAATCTTTTGCATGGGGAACAGGGACTGGTCTGGTTCCTGCATGGGACATTTAATGGCCTTCATATTCCTTAGTTTGCAAGTTTCACAATTACTCACATGTTCGTATACCCTGCGGTATAGATCTGGAAAATAATATTTCGTTCTAATAGCATCGTAAGTGCGATCTATTCCCAAGTGGCCATTGTCATTATGATACTGGTTCAGTACTCTCAAGTATAGATGCCTGGGGATATATTTCCTTAAAATCGGGTCATCTTCCTTATTTGTTATATAATATAACTGTCCATCCTCTGGTAGGATCAGACAGTTTTTTATTTTTCTTATACGGTTTGTTTGTTTTTAATTCCTCTATTATACTTCTTATATCTTCGTCTTTTTCCTGTTCAATTTTCATGTCAAAACCCATAAGGTCACTCACTGTCTCCTCATGGATTTCTCCTGTTTCGTCCTGTTCGTCTCTAATACCTAGTCCCTCTAATCTGTTTGTATTGATAGCATGTATTTCCCACGTGTGGTCGTTTATGTCTGGATCTCCAACATCCGTCTCATCCGGACTGTCCTTGTAGGGAACTCTTGATAATAAATCAGCTATAGTATTCGTTGCTCCTGGAATGTACTCAATCCTAGCGTTATACGCTTGTATATTGAGCGCCCACGTTTGTATTTTCCTGTTTTGTATGGGAGACTCTAGCAAACCTTTAAGTGGCATGTGATCAGTTTTGATCACAAAACGGGCATTGTGTAAGTAATAGTTAAGCTTTTCCAGGGCATAGTGGATAGCGAACGCCTCTTTTACAATAACGGGCCATTTCCTCTGGCTTTTGCTAAGCTTATGGGATAGAAAATAAATAGGTTTTTCATTCTTTATTCCTGGTATAATCTCAGCCTCCCCTTCACTCATCGGTATTGTTAGGCAGGCCCCTATAGCAATGTCCGAGGCGTCTGTATACAAGACCATCTCCTTATCTGTGTCTGGGTGAGCTAGAAGGGGTATTACTTTTAAGCTTTCTTTAAGAAAGTCAAAGGCGGCCTGGCATTCATCTGTCCACCTAAATCTAGCGTATTTTTGGGTGAGGTTAATCATCGGTTCCGCTATCTGCGAGAAATTTGGTATGAATCGTCTGTAGTATCCGCACATTCCAATAAATCCTCGTACTTCCTTTACGTTTGTGGGGTGTGGTAACTCCTGTATTGCTTTCACTTTTTCTTGATCGGGTTGTATCCCTTGTCTATTAATTACGAAGCCAAGATACTTGGTCTCGGTCTTGAGAAAGTTGCATTTGTTGAGCTTTAGTTTGACGTCGTGTTCCCTAAGCCTGTCAAACACCCGTTCAACATGTTCTAAGTGGTCTTCGACGGATCCTGATGAAAATACTAATATGTCGTCGACGTATGCTAATGCGAATTTTTGTAGACCGTTAAGTACCTGATCTACGAGCCGCATGTACACTGGAGGGCTATTGCGTAGACCAAATGGCATTCGGAGCCAGCGGAAACTTCCCAGATGAGTGCTAAAAGTGCTCTTATCGCTGGCATCCTCGGACATAGGAATGCTCCAAAAACCCGACCTCGCGTCTAGGGTCGTAAAATATGTCGACTTGTTCAGCAGCCCTAAAATATCATCCACGACTGGCATGGGGTACGAAATATTCTTAGTTATTTTATTTAGTGCTCGGTAGTCGCAGCAGAATCTGTGTGTGCCGTCCTTTTTCTTTACTATAACTATTGGCGAGGACCATGAGGACAACGATCGTTCAATAATGCCAGCCTGCAGCATTTCATGTATAGCTTTTTCCACTATTTCTCTATCTTTGAGCGGTGTTCTATACGGTCTTAAACAAATGGGTTTATGCTCCCCTGTATCCAGTTCCATCTGCACAGATTGTGTCCTCCCTAACTCTATATCTGTCAGTGCAAAGACGTCTTCGTTTTTAACTATAAACGATTCCAAAATATTTCTGTGTTGGGGTTCTGCCTGTAACTGTTTTAGCACTTCCGCTGTTCTGACCGGATTTGACCTCTTACCTTCATAAACATCTTCTCCCCTACTCATATTCTGGGATCTGTTATCACAGTTATACCGCCGTTCCTGAGATCTGATATTCCGATTATTTTCTAATTTTTGTAACCGCGCAGCTCTGTTAAAATTAATATTTTGCCCACCTCCATTTCGTACACATGACCTCAGTTGACTCTGATTGTCATGGTATGAATTCGGTCTCTGTGGTCTGAAACTCTGCTTATCTATATTGTAGTGTGATCTCTCGTTATCATATCTTCGCCTACCGGAGAAACCGGTAAATCGATTAGCATCGACTTTATGTGTAGTAACAGTTGCTATTTTATAGCTATTCCTTCCTCTCGGTGCCTCTCCCGTTGAACTATTTACCTCTAGAATATCTCTATCTACGTTAGCTACAATATTTCCTTTCTTCAATTTTACGGTTTTCCCTGTCGCGTTTGTGATAAGGACCGGAAAACAAAGTCTTTTACCTAACGTTACAATGCCATCTGTAGTTGATAAGCACGGTTCGTTTAACAGTGCTTCCTGAAGCGCTGTTGTTCGAATAGTTTGACCTGGCAGGAAATATGGGTTTCTTTTTAAACCCGACATCACTACGTTGATTGAATTAGGTTTTAGGATGACTGTTTGTTTAGCACGTACCACCGAAGCAACGTGAATGTCATCTCTAAGATCTACGTACCTATCTCTAATTCTAAGCTTTTTAAGGTCAAAATATAGCCTTATGCCATGTTTAACTAATATGTCCCGTCCTATAATTAAATGACGGTTCATTGTTTTTACTATGATAAAAGGATGTGTCATATGTATTCCACCGATGGAAAACGGAATCATGGCTTTACCTAAAACTGATAGGCTGGCTCCGGTGACAGACTGTAAGTTCTCTTTTGTGTGATGTAACTCTATACTACCTCTAATCCTCTTAAATACCGAGTAATTTAGAAGTGACAAATCTGCTCCTGAATCCACCAGACTATTAAACTTATTATTGTTGATTTCTATTAAACAGCAACACGGGCTGCCTGATGCATTAATCTGTCTATGGTTTGTAACTCTCTTCTGCCTATTTATTTCGTTATCTCTCTTGTGTCTTACTGAACTTTTAGAGGCTATGTCTCGTCCGTCGCTCAGCTGTGCCCCGGCCAGCGAGCGGATTGCGCGTTTCCCGAATAATGGTTTCTCCAGCCGCCGTTATTTTGTGTGTTAAGTCCCTGACTTCTGCGACTGACCTGCCACGACCTTTCACCTCTGAAATCTGTGTTAACGAGCGGTCGGTTTATCGGCTGTGTTGTGGGTCGGTTACCTGCCGGGCAAAATCGGACTTTATGGGGACCTGAACAGTTATAACACGTTAAAGTGTGTTGCACTGCCTGTATGTTAGAGTGTCTGTGTCTCTCATTTGTGTGTCTTTCTCTGTGTGGTCTAAAATGTGATATGTCCATGGGTTCCGTCAACCTAATATCTTCTTCTTCTTCTGTTCTTCGTCCAGTTTGAAGGAACACTTTTCGTCTTAAACTCTCTTCTTTAAGAGTTATGGCTACTGCCTGTTCTAGAGTTGTTGGCCCAGAACGCAATAAACGAAGTTTTTGTGAACAGTCCCTTAAACTGTCACTGAAGACTGAAACTAAAATAAGCTGAGTTTGTTGTGATTGTATCTCTTCTTTAAGAAATGCATCTTGCGCGAGACTCTGTATTCTCTGCGAATAATTCTGTACGCTCTCATCTTTGCCCTGTTTGATCTGTCGTAAGAGGGAAAAGGCCATCTGTCTGTCTGTGACATCGCTGAAATTTTGTGCTAAGTCTCTTTTCAGTTCTTCCCATGTTTCTTCTTCATTCTGCTCTAATCTTCTTCTTATGTGTTCTGAAACCGGGGAAGAACTCATCTGGTATGCTAAACGTTTGATGTCGAAACTTGTCGCACCTGAAAGGAAAGCATACTTTTCTATCTCGTTTACCCACTTTTTAAACTTTTTTGTGTCTCCCCTGAAAGGTTCAATAACCCCTGTTATTCCCTGTCTCCGAACGCTACAATCTAATCTGGAGACAGCCTTGCTGACTTCTCCTAAAACTCTGCTGAACTGGGCTTCTACTGTTCCCTGTTCTGCCATTTTTAAAAAATCTGGGAAATTAATCTAATGCAAGTAAATTAAAATTGAAAAAAAACAGAAAATGTCAAATTACCTTGTTGAGTGCGGTCTGAAAAAAAATTCTCTTTTCACAACACACTGTAATTAAAAATCGGCACTGTCCTGGAATTATTTTCTAAGTTAATAGGAAAGGTAGGGAAAGATAAGAAAAGGTTTTCCCTACACCACTGTAAATTGAAAATCACAATATATTTAAACTAATTAATGTTAATGTTCAAGGTTCTTTAAAATCGCGCTTATTTTGCAGTTCCTATTTGTAAAATCGGACAGCTCACAGTTCTTGACTTTCCTATAATCTTCCGAGTGTGTAAAGTTAGGAAAAGTTTATATTATGGCTCCAGACTAGAACGGGCGCGTCCCCCTGATTCTAGTGTAGACGGTTTGCTCCGGGCTAGAACGGGCGTGTCCCCCTGATTCTAGTGTAGACGGTTTGCTCCGGGCTAGAACGGGCGTGTCCCCCTGATTCTAGTGTAGACGGTTTACTCCAGGCTAGAACGGGCGTGTCCCCCTGATTCTAGTGTAGACGGTTGGCTCCAAAAGGTGGTGCAGGCTGTTGGTCTGGTTTACGTCTCTCCAATCTGATGACGGGTTTATCGACTTTTTTGTTTTACTCAGCAGGTACAATCATAAACTTGCTTTTAGTTCACCTTTTTATAGCAGTTGCTTATTTGTTATGTTGTAACAGCAGTCTTGTTTTTTAAAGATGTCGAGTACACAAGACTGATCGTTGGTCACGGCTCCAAATATCCTCATCGCTTGTGGCACAGTCGTGCCTATACATCCCCCAAGAAATAGATGTGCCTAAGTCGGCCAAGTGAATGAATATAGTTCGTATCTCTCTTCAATCGTACTCAAGAACAAGGCCAGTGATGTAACAATTACACAAGAGCTGTTTATTTACAATATTCCAGTCATAGAGGCTTTATAAATTCAATAGTATATGAACACTGTATTATCTGGATACAGGCTATTCGTATGACTCTCTACGAGTTCCTTAACCACTGTTCTAGCTAAACTCCAAGTTTAACATATACCTTCTAAACGAAGTAAATCACTAGTTTTCTCCTAACCGGTCTTTCCAGCGGTTCAGCCCTAACCTGTCCTATCAAGCGGTTCCGTGGCTAACTGTCCTCTCCAGCGGTTCCAGGACTAACTAACCTCTCAAGCGGTCCCGGGGCTAACTTTACTTCTCAAGCCCCTGGCTCTGACTTTATTCCCGCTTTCCCGCTCCTCCTGGCGTACCTTCTCCATCACTTCTCTGTCACCTGTCTTTGGTGGTCACGTCTGGATGAACGTATCTCATCAGCAGGTCACAGTTCACGGGCACTCGTCGAATGTTTCATCCCTCACTGTCAGATGTCATGGCGGTGTGTTCTGCATAGCTGGCTAGGCCATGGCTTTCTAATCACCTATTTCTGTCATTTCACACAGTGATGGATTAGTACGCTGTGTGGGGAAGAAAACTTTAGAATGTTGTTACTGTCGAACTGGCGTGGAGAGGACATCCCGTTAATTAACGTTATTGAGTGCTCACATTAGTAGACGTGGGTTTTTTTTCCCGCAGTGTTTTTTTTCCCGCAGTGTTTTGTTTTCACTCTTTTTTTCGAACCCAATGTTTTTTTTTTTTTAAACACCGCCTGTCGTTATTAGTCATGTTCGTTGTCTCGGGTTGCCCCTTTAGTTTTTATTTATTAACACATTTATTGCTCGATTTTTTACTATAGTATTTTTGTTTTTTCTGCGAATCGGAGGAAAACTATTTCGATCCCAGTATCTTACGGTCTTGTCATTGTCATTATCATGTATCGGTTCCTTTGCAGAACGTCACTCTCATTACGGTCCGATTAAAAGATACTAGGTCTCTCGTCAGCTCTCCCGCCCGCCCCATGAACTTTCATAGTCAAGAAGTGTCTCATAGCATGTGCCCATCTTTGCCTTGGTTGGCCAAGCCCTCCTTTCAGGTACCATGCTTTTTTTTTTTTTTTTTTTTTTTCCTCCAGTGCACCATGGCGCTTGATTTGACCAAAATATCTCAGCTTCAGAGACAAGATGTATTTATTGGCCAATCTTCGACGATGTTCTGATCTTTTATAATGTCAGTATTTGTTCTCTATTCTGAGAATATTTCTATAGCATTTCAACTCTAAAGCCTCCATTTTCTTACTTTCGGAACTGGGAAATAGTCAACGACTCAAGTCCATATATTGCTACAGGGAAGATGCATGTTCTCAAAATGTTTAATTTGTTCTCGTTGCTGGTGCTGAACCATAGACCTTTAATGCTGATCTTGTAGAGCTGTCAAAATGCTCATATTGACCACTGCTCCAAATGTTTTCAGGTTGACGTCTAAAGATAAAAGAAGGAGGGTGAGGAGAAGCAGAAGAATACTGGAAGCAGAATAAAAAGAGGGAAGAAGAACAAGAACAAGAATTGTTAGGAGTGTATAATTTTCAGACCAAAACTTTCTTCCAGCAACACGATTCATAAGTTGTGCAAGCCTCTCATTATATTAGTATTATAGTATTTCGAGAGACTAAAGGGCCTACACTGCAACCTACGGGAAAATGTATATGGGGATATCTAAAATCATGATTTGAAACATCTGGATAATTTAGTGAGGGTACGGAGACAGCTGCAGGAAATGGCAAAAGATAGGAGGACTTTTGTAAACTGGGTGAGAGCTTATGCTTCATTGAGGGATAAACGAGGGAAGGGTAAGAACAGATTATCCGGTACTGACCTGATACTAGAGAAATGAAGTTTCCTTCCCAGTGCTGACCAGAAACTAAAGAAATGAGGTTTCCCGCATTATGCTGACCAGATGCTTCAGGAATAAAGGTTCCTCCTCGATACTAACCACATACTAAGAGGGAAGAAGTTGCT